TGGCTGTCGGGGTCCCGGTCGCGCTCCCTGCACCCGCGCACCTCGTTGTACAGCTTGGAGGAGGAGAGTGGCGCCAGGAAGGAGGTGTAGGAGCAGGGAATGCTCACTCCATCAGCTGGGAGAGAGGGAGAGAGATGACTTTTTACCGATTCAATTCCCACACCTGTCTCCTGGCCTCTCAGGCTGACGGACACGGAGCCGGACAGTCACACAGGTATACAGGCGGCAACAGCCGTCCAGCTGAGGGTGGGAGCTCAGAGCAGCGGCAGCAATGGATTATGGGTACGAATATCAATTACCGCTGTGTCCAATCAGGATGGCTACAGGGCCCGAAAAGAAAACCTCAGTCGGCCTGGCTGTGGAGACAGCGTCTCGGCCAGCGGCGGTTTCGCCCGTATACAGCAGTCAGTCCGCTGCCCCTCCTCCTCCTCCTCCTCCTCCTCCTCCCACCCTCAGCTCACATGCAGACAGCCATTGACAAGCTCAACCGAAGACAAAACAAGTCCAGATACGGGCTCTCCCAAAATCGCCACACTGCAAACTCAGTCACCGTCTCTCCAAACGGGCTCCGGGGGCTCGGGGCGGCTGTGTCCCGCGCGTACCTTTCAGGAAGTGCTGCGCTCCGTTCAGGCACTCGGGGGACAGCTCGTTGTCCCCGAAGGACCCCAGCAGCTCGCTGACGATGATGTCGGCCTTCTCGGGCGCCGCCCAGTCCCGCATGTCGCACGACACCACGGTCACCTGGTCGCCCCACTCCTCGAACCGCCAGTTCTCCAGCCTGAGAGCGAGGCGGCGGGAGAGCGCGCGTCAGCTGACGTCTGCGCCCCCGCGGGGCTGTCTGCGGCTCTGCCTGTCTGTCTGAGGCTCTGTCTGTCTGTGCCTGTGGGAGTCTCTCTGTACCTGTCTGTCTGTGCCTGTGTGAGTCTCTCTATACCTGTCTGTCTGCAGCTCTGCCTGTCTGTCTGTCTGTCTGTCTGCAGCTCTGCCTGTCTCTGTCTGTGCCTGTGTGAGTCTCTCTGTACCTGTCTGCCTGTGCCTGTGGGAGTCTCTCTGTACCTGTCTGCCTGTGCCTGTGTGAGTCTCTCTGTACCTGTCTGTCTGTGCCTGTGGGAGTCTCTCTGTACCTGTCTGTCTGTGCCTGTGGGAGTCTCTCTGTACCTGTCTGTCTGCAGCTCTGCCTATCTGTGCCTGTGGGAGTCTCTCTGTACCTGTCTGTCTGCAGCTCTGCCTATCTGGGCCTGTGTGAGTCTCTCTGTACCTGTCTGTCTGTCTAGTCCCCCCAGCCTTCCCCAGCTGGTCAGTCAGTCAGCCAGCCCCTCGGTCAGCTGGTCAGTCAGTCAGCCAGCCCCTCAGTCAGCTGGTCAGTCAGTCAGCCAGCCCCTCGG